AATTACTGTTAGTCGCTGACAACCAGGATAGGATGAGAACAATGTTGACAAGAATCAGAAATGGGATATTGAAGCCGTATTTAAACTTCTATTGCATACAAAAGTGACTGAATAAGGGATATAAAATGACCTATACCTGTGTGGTTATTAACGTGGGGTGGGCCGATGTCCTACTCTCACTTTCAACTCTTGATTCGATGTTTTTCCTCTCCGCTCACACACACCGCCTCTCACAACATCCGCCAACTCTCTCTTTCATTGCTCGCGCAGTCTTTTATAACTCTTTCTTCGGGACATGCGTGAAAGCACATCCGTCAGACCCGACTATCAAGGTGTTTCGTAAAGGGTACCTCCTACAGCAGGTCCTATCGGGAACCCTATGGGTTTTATAGGGAACCCTACGGGTCCTATACAGAACCCTTTGGGTCCAATAGGGAACATATAGGCCTTATGGGGAACCCTTTAGGTTCTATAGGGGGATCCATAGGTTCTATAGGAAACTCTATAGGTTCAATAGGGGACTCTATAGGTTCTATAGGGAACTCTATGGGTCCCAAACTGAACTCTAAGGGGCATATACGATCCTATAGGATTCCTTTAGGTTCCTATAGGATTCCTATATATTCCTTTAGGAATATATAGGAGTCTTATAAGACATTTTCGTAAGGGTGATGAATGCCACCTCTCTGCATCCTGTGGTTTGCGAGCGACAAAGTACCCCATATCGATATAGTGAATTCATAGCTAGCTCTTATTTACACTCTCGAAGTGGAGCAGTACCAGAATATGCGTATCAATTAAACTCTCCTAATAATTCATTTTGATGTGCTCCTTGATATTTATACCGCATACTCTCACTAAAAGGCTCTCCGATTTCGGCAGCCTGGAATACCACGCTCTGTCAAACCGATTACAAGACCATGAAGCCAGCGGCGAGCTCTGACCCGAGCGCCCTCACCCCAAGAGACGTGAAGGGCCTCTGCAGCCAGATATGGGGGAATCCCGATGCGAACGCGACGAGCATCGACGATGTGAAGGTCCAGCCGTCAGCCCTGGAGCGAATCTGCAATGACAAGAGATCCCTATCGAACACGAGAGGTTTTCATGTCATCTTTGAGCCGGATAACTCCTGGATCAACACAGCAAATGCATTTTTCTTGCGCAATCACTGGCATCAAAACTTCACGTTACTGAATCCTTGCTCGAATACCATGCCCGATGACTACTTTCTCCTGTTGTCTGGAAACACGGAACCTGCTTCTAGCACGGATCCATTTCCAACTTCACATCCTTTCAATGTCTCCTCGGGCATGAATGCATCCTCGTTCTCGGAGGAGCCAGGATCCTCAGCCGGAGAAACGGGTGGCAGCACTCCGACTACTCCATTCTCATCGAACGGCTCCGACCCCGAGATGAATGCCACGCTGACACGGAAGAAAAGGTCCGACCGAGAAAGACGCAAGGCCATCTTCGAGCTGCAACAGGACGTTCAACGCCAACTCGTCGACGAGTACATGCGCGCCGTGCTTGACAAGGTCAGCGTGGCCCTCACAACCTCGACTGCATTGTCTTAAGTAAAGTGCATGAAGTTTTTAGATTTTTTCTGGAGATGGAAGTCTTTTTTAACGTTAAATATGCTTCTGCAGCAGCCTTTTATCTTTAAAATACCTGGCTACGGGTTCGAAATTAGCGTTCTGTCACTGGAGCATAAGAATGATATGTCCTGCAATTTCTTTTGTATCCAGCAATCCTTTTTTTGGCACAGCGAATCACGCATCAGTAGGTGTTGTCTCCTTTGAACATTTCTCCGAGAGTCGGTTCATACATTCCCAACTTACATTGCCCTGCTTCAGGGTTGAATCGTCGCGCGAATACTTTCGATTAATCGATGACCATTTTTTGAATTCGACCTGAAACGAACGGCTTCTCTGATAGGTGGGCGAAGAGGTGAGGGAAGCGCTGGAGAGCGTCCATCCGCGAATCAAACGGTCCGATGGTGAGTGCCAGCACCTTCACGATTCTTTCTTCTTTTGGTCAATAGTTTGCGATTTGTTTAATTAGTTGTTAATGTTGATATTCAGATTTGAAAAACAAAGATCCGCTCGGCTGCAACGACGATGGGGCCAATTGCTCCGAGGCTGGGGGTGTCCCGGCTCGGTGCCTGGAGAACGGGACGGCCGTCATCGATCCCAATGTCTTTGCCGGTCGACTCATTTTCCGTTTCCGGATTTTTACTATTATTAAAGGTATCTCTTGGCTTCGTGAATATTTGAAAGTGGATTTCCTGGTTTTAGCGGTGTGTGCGGAGGAGCGGAAGGTGCCCTGTTTGAACAGCGCAGTGTGGCATGGCCCGAACCACACATTTCACTGCATAGGCATCTGGCAGGTAGGGCCAAAATCTTAAAATTCTCAGACATATCATCGTATGAACGCATGGAATCACACCACTGAATGAAGAGATTAACTGCAAAGGCGAAACCATCGTCTAAAACCGTTTTTAAAGAATTAGGATCGCCTGGTTATGTCTTCACCATTCCCTATCATCGGCGAATATGCTCGTACTCAAGAATAGGGCGCTTATTTTTTTGCTAGCAGCTCTATTAGCTCTGCTGAGACCTCCAAAATCCGATGCCGTCATTTTAAGGCTCACCTCCTCAGCGTTTTCGTAGTTCGATATGTTCCGCTGGCAGCTGATTGCCAAATAAGACGTCATTTAATGAAGTGGTTTTGCCTAGCCAGTGCGTCCTTTTCGCCAGCAGCTGCTAGCGGCTGGAGAAAAAGACGCGCCCAGTTACCAGGAAATCCCATCTTCTCTTAGAGGGGATTTTTTCAAGGAGAATTTCAAGATACCCTATATCTTCTGCAGTTTGTAACTATAACAGCTTCCAATTCACTTATTTCTCAGAAAAAAAAACGTTCCATTTCTATCGGAAAATCGTATGATACTCTCACGCTCGTAATTGCATAGCAATATAATATAGAAACGTGATCGTACCACATGGTAATTAAGCCCATTGTGCCTTAACGGCCTCTGAATATTGCACGAGCTCTGATTAGGGCCTCCGCGCTGCACGCAAGCTTGTTTCCAAACTCGGAGCCACGATGACCCATAACGATGCCCGACACGACCTCCCCGGACGCGTCGCCCTCGCACGTCAGAGCGCGCGAGGATGCGGAAGAGCCCCTTCGTCCCTGCCGATGCCAGCATGAAGGATTACAAGTGAGTCCCACAATCTCTCTCCTTTTCACTGCTGGGGTAGTTGTGCGCCCAAAAAATCTAAATCTGGGAGTCCAGAATGAACTGTTCGGCACTCCTTACTTATTCTTGAACTTCTCGCGGTCTCATCTAAGGCCAACGATGAATTCAGAGAAAGCATTTATCAACTTGGGACGCCCTTATAACCAATCAATATCCATCTGTACATACTACAGTTTATTACAGCGCTTCCCAACTCAGAATCACGACCCAAATTGGGGTCGGGAACCGGTTATTTAAAACCATGTTTTTTTTTTCTTTGAAGCTTTAGCGCATATGTGGGGGGAGTCAATCGAACTTCGGCCTGTTCTTAGGGTCCTGTATAGTATGATCATGTTTATGGGATCGCGCGTGAATAAGGTTGGAGTGCCCTAGACGCTTTACGTCTGGCTTGGTAGCTCAGTGGACAGCCCCAGGTGCTTTTGCTCCTCCGTGACATAGACTATGTAGTCCAAGTGTTTGCCTATCCCGGTCATAGGCTTGTTGCATTTCGTATTTTGTGAAGCCGAAAGGCTTGGCAAGCCTTCGCTTTTCAAAGGCTAGGCGCGTTTCGTGGTTTTCGTCCATGTGGCTGATGTGCCTGCAACCTGCGTCTCCAAGCCATAGTCTTGGCGGGATGGAGGAAACAGTCGAGTCGAATGTGATGCGACTCTTCTATAGAACCAAATCGGTTAATTATCTTTCGTCTTTACTCTCCAGTGAGCGAAAGGAGAATGTCGATCCCGAGAGGAGAGGTGAAGAAGTGCAGTGTAGGGTTGCGGTAGCTGCAGAGCAGCGCAAGGCCGTAAACGCCTTGCGGAGAGCATCGCATGTACGCGTCAAACCACCAACTCGTACCGATTGGCAGGGGTCGCCCAACGTCATTCCTGCTGTTCCGCGCGATTTTGGCCCGAGGAATGTAAATGCTAGGTTAAAAATCCACCCGGTCACCCGGGGGGGTTTAAGGTGGGGAACATCCACATGGTCCCAAATCCACCTCCTGATCTACCTGTATCCACCTGGTCGTTCAGCCAGACGGATACAGGTGGACGCTTGTATGTGAGGGCACCTAGCTAGTGTGAGTCTTATACCGGAGTCATACCGAGTCTTCAAGGCCTGAACACATGCGACTCTGGTTATCTCCATGGTAATTCCCGTTCGCATGTATTCGTGTTGGCTCTGCAGGTCTGATCAAACACTTACCGATAAGCATACGGTTCGTGTGTCGAGTTAATCGCTCGCCTAATTTCTTATTTAGCTTCGACCGAGTTCTGCCCTCGTTCTCTGAGGCAAGACAATAAATATAGCTGCAATTAATCGATTGCCAGATTGCTCAACCACTCAGTGTTTGCGAAGTGGGAGCTGGCGATGAACTTAATGTCGGCAATCTTTGATTTCAATGGCAATTTCCTGAAGTCCTCTTTTCCACATCATCCTTTCCACTTCACCTTTCTCAACAGACAGTTTAGCGTGATAATCTCAGGATTGAGCATGTTGCGCCACTGTCTCCCATTCAGGAGAAGCATTACATTTCTTCAGATAGGAAAAGCCAGCGTTCATAATATTCTGCTCCAAATTAGCATACGGGTGGAACTTTTTCCTAATTACTTCTCAGAATAACGTTTTGGTAGTTTATGACGATTCCAAGAGCACAGTAATCTCTGATCGTATCGCTACAGGGTTCTGTAATCATATTTCTGTGATAACTACAATGCCTTTTCTCTTCCGGCTAGAAAAAACAAAGAGAACGGGAACACTGCAGCGGGCTGGGCAGAAGAATTCTTCGTGTCCCGCTTCAGCGGGCATGGGATCCCGCACATCTTCGAGTCTTATTCCTTATTGGGACGCCTCTTTTGGCTCCTCATCACGATCTTCTTCGTGGTGCTCTGCCTTTGGCAGTGCATCCTGGTCATCCAGGACTTTCTCACCTACCCGAAGGTCGTCAGCATTCAGGTTTCTTGCTTCTCGCTTTCCAACTTAACGCTTGAAGTTATTGTTCATTCAAAATAGTATGATAGATATGCTGTCAAATTACGATTACGAGCACCATACAGGTATTGCAACATTGTCAATAGAGTGAATTAACTTTTTTAAATTCAGGATTCAGGATAGTTATTGATATCAAGAGGCGATTTCGCGAGCGTTCCTTAATTTTAGGGTAGGCCTAACCCTCTAAAAGCTAAATATTTTTGTATTTTTGTTTTGTTTTGTTTTTTTTTTTGTTTTTGCTTTTTT